ATTCAACATTTCCAGTCCTCAAACATGCCATATGTGACTCTGGGACTTTGAGAATGCTCTCCTCTCTCTGGCTCATTCTCCTCTGCCTACCCTGAAGTGGGCTGGATGTTCCTGGGTATGTTTCTACAAGTCCCTAAAATTATTACACCACAGTATTTTTAAACTTGGCTCTTATGTCTTGTTTTTAGAACCCTGTTAACTCCATGAGAGCCAAGGTGGATCCTATAGTGTTGAACAGTGTTCCCCACACTCAGCTCAGTGTCTGGTAGACACAGCAGAGACCTTATGAAGGGAAAAGACGATTTCCTTCCTAGGTCTCAGATAAAACGTCTGAAGCAGTTTTCAAAATATCCCATTTCTAAGGCACCTCTCCAGATTCTTTGACAAACATTAATATCTGAGTTCAAATAATGCTTTCCCTTAGCAGACGAATATATGGGGTTTAAAATCCCTTAGGTTTGTAGTTTCTTAAAACAATATTTTTTTTACGCATGGAAGCCTTAAAAAGATTTCTCTCATGAATTCCCTGATGTTCACAAAAGGAGAAATTAAACCACCATGATGGATTTTCCCTTCTATAGAGATTTCATTTGTTATACTGACCAATTCTTCATTTTCATCTGAGGAGGTTTATTTAAATTATTTGGAGCTATAGTGCCTAAAGAAACACATAGAAACAAGTCAAGGTAGAAGTAGAAGGTGATCATTGATACAATGGACATACATACTAACCAAATCACAGAGAGCTATAATTTGGCACAAAAAATTGAGAGACTGTTTCTCCAATTACCAGAAATATAAATGATTATAATAATTTTAGAAAACTGATTCTCAAATAAAACACAAGGCAAAAAAAAAATCTTGGATTTGTCAAATAAGTAAGTTTTAAAAACTCATTAAGTTATCACAATTTTCTCATTTTTCTGGGTTCTGTCATTTACATAAATGTTTAGTTGACTTGATTAAAGTCAAAATTATCAGGTATAGCCAAGTTACTACTCAAACTTTTAATGCTCTGCAATATATATATTTATATATAAATCCTCACACATGTTCACGTAACTTTAAAACTGAATACCACTGCTCTAAGCCTGCCAGTAAGATTTTAAATTCTCTAGCTTAGGCACCAGTATTTGGTCACCATCCAAAGCATTAGACTCATTGTAGGAATGTACCATTCTGCAAAGGATGCTTTTCTCTGAACTCAAACTTATTTGCTCAATAAAGCAGGAAAATTTCTGTCCCAAATCTAAAATGTGTCTTCATCTACCACAGTGCTTGCTTTCTTCTTTCAATACTTAATTAGCTGATATGAACCTGTTACAGTTTAGATCTTAAATGTTTCTCAAAAGCCATGTGTCTAAGGCTTGGTTACCAGCCTGTGGCACTGTTGGGAGGTGGTGGCCCCTTTAGAAAAAGGGGCCTTATGGAAGGGTGTTAGATCACTGGGGGCATGCCTTCAAAGGGGATATTGGGACGCTGGCCCCTTCACCTCCCTCCTTCTCCATCTTTCTTTTCCCAGCTGCCATGAGATGAACAGCTTTGCTCCCTCATGAACCCCCATCATGATGCTCTGCCTCACCACAGGCCAAAGGCAACCAAGCCAAGAAACCAGGAAGTAAAATTCAGAAACTGTCAACCTCCTTACCAATTTATTATCTCAGGTATTCTTTCACAGAGATGGACAGCTAACCAAAACAGCCTCCTTCATTTTAAGACCAATCACATTTGTGGTCTTTCTCTGGTTGTTGCCTTTCAATTATTCACTCTCTATAAATGTCTTCAGTGGGTCTCCTTCTACCATATCTTTCAATTTTCTTTCCCCACTGAGTCATTTTCTACAGGCTAGAAACAAGCTCATGCTTTCCTATCCTTTAACTATTGCTATGATTTCAAAGTCCCTCCAAAACTCATATTGAAATTCATTGCCACTGTGATGCTATTGAGACCTGGGTCTTTTAAGAGGTCATGAATGAATTAAGGCCATTATCATAGGAATGGCTTTGTTATAGAATTGAGCCTGCACACTCTCCTGCCTCTTACCCTCTCATTATGTGATCTGCTTCTACTACTTGCAGCCCCTTGATTTTGGATTTCCCACCTTCCCAACTGAGAGAAAGAAGTTTCCTTTACTAATTACACAGTCTGTGGTATTCTGCTGCAGCAGTAGGAAATGGACTAAGACAGCTATTCACCTTGGATATCTATAGTATGCTTCGGTATGCA